TTGACAATGTTCTTTGCTATTCACATTAGCTATGACTCTAATTGTTTTCTTTTGCAAGCGAAATATTTTTATAGATTGTCTGCAATTGCCCCACAAAAACTGCATAGTATATGCGAGAATGAAAAGAAGCAAAATAGGACATAATTAAAGTATTTAAATCAACTAAGTATATTCTTTAGCTGTCATAATACAAAAATGGTGCTTGGGAGCGACTTCAAGAGATATGCAACATATTAGTCATTTTATGTTGTAGGCAAATTACCTACAATTCAAGGTTAAAAAATTTAAAAAAATACCTATTTTATCTGAGTTTTTTACTTATATCTTGGAACCTATTGAAGAATATTGAAGAGGAAAAAGGTTTAGAATTGAATTTTGCACAATATACTCTAAGTTAATTTTTTAAATTTATTACCGATGTGGCAAAATAGCAATAATTGATGAAAAAAGGCAAAATAATCAAGTTTTTGGATAATTTTTTTAAATATTTTAATTGCTCGGAGGGGATTCTAATTTTGGAAAAAAAAACTTTAGAGTATAATAAAACAACACAACAAACTTCATTCAAATCTATTCGATAGTTTTCGCAAAATAGTTTTTTGAAAAAAATTTTGAAAAAAATTTTGCACAGCCTCAAATAAAGCATCTAGATACTTGAAATTTTTTTCACATAGAATAAACCGCTCAACCTTTCAAATGGTTTTTGAAAAATTGAAATCGGTTGATTAGGACGGCCACAGTTAAAGTTAACACTCTTTTTTTTATTTTTAAACAATTAGATTACATTTATCAATTAGCAATTTAGTTTTTTTCATAAATTATGATTTTAAAGTACTCGGAAAGACGCTTCCTTTTTTTTAAAAAATTTCCGTTTATTGGTTCTCGAGATATAAGCGGTCAAAGTTTATCGGCATTTACCGTTAATTTATAAACAATTTAGCAATAATTTTTGATCCAGTGGCTTCGTTTTTCCGAGTTCTAAACTGGAAAAAATTTTCACATCCATCCATAAGTTATCGGCAACATCGATAAATCAGCGGAAAAGCTGTCGCTCGCACGCGCGAAAAGTGACTCAATCACACGAAAAGTGGGGGAGGAGACTTTCGCTCAGAGACTGAATTCGGAGGTTCAAAATGCGAAGGTACGAAAAAAATCGCATTATCTCGGCTTCTAATGGACCAATTTCGATATTTTTGTTTTAATCCGATGTCTCGCGAGCCAAGGAATTCGAATATGGTAATGCCAACTGTCTAATTTGCACATATTTTGTTATAAACAAAGTTTATTATTTATGCATTAAATATACTATATATTTTACCTTATGCTATTGCATTTTTTCAATAAAAAAATTTGTTTACGTATACGTTTTCAACACACTGAATATGAATGTATTTAGTTATAATTATTACAATTATTTAAATAATTTTTGTTTAAACAAATTAAAAAAAAATTAATTTGAAAATCAATTTTTTTGTTAAATACAGATAAAATAAAAAAAAGTAGTATAGTAATAAATAGATTGCAAATTGATAAATGTAATCTAATTGTTTAAAAATAAAAAAAAGAGTTTTAACTTTTGAACTGATGAATAATATCGGTGCCAATATAGTTCCCTGGGGAACTCCACATGTAATATTTCTGGGACCACTACTGGCATCATAGTCCAGGAGAATTACACATTGACATGGCTGTTGCTTGACGTAATTTAGATATTAGTAAAAATCGGTCGAAAATAATATATACAATGAAAATATAAGGTNTGCTTGGGAGCGACTTCAAGAGATATGCAACATATTAGTCATTTTATGTTGTAGGCAAATTACCTACAATTCAAGGTTAAAAAATTTAAAAAAATACCTATTTTATCTGAGTTTTTTACTTATATCTTGGAACCTATTGAAGAATATTGAAGAGGAAAAAAGGTTTAGAATTGAATTTTGCACAATATACTGTAAGTTAATTTTTTAAATTTATTACCGATGTGGCAAAATAGCAATAATTGATGAAAAAAGGCAAAATAATCAAGTTTTTGGATAATTTTTTAAAATATTTTAATTGCTCGGAGGGGATTCTAATTTTGGTAAAAAAAACTTTAGAGTATAATAAAACAACACAACAAACTTCATTAAAATCTATTCGATAGTTTTCGCAAAATAATTTTTTGAAAAAAAATTTGAAAAAAATATTGCACAGCCTCAAATACAGCATCTAGATACTTGAAAATTTTTTCACATAGAAGAGACCGCTCAACCTTTCAAATGGTTTTTGAAAAATTGAAATCGGTTGATTAGGATAATTTAGATAATTTTAAAGTACTCGGAAAGACGCTTCTTTTAAAAAAAAGTTAAATTCCGTTTATTGGTTCTCGAGATATAAGCGGTCAAAGTTTATCGGCATTTACCGTGAATTTATAAACAATTTAGCAATAAATCTTTGATCCAGTGGCTTCGTTTTTCCGAGTTCTAAGCCGGAAAAAAATTCAATATCCTTAAGTTATCGGCAACATAGATAAATTAGCAGAAAAGCTGTCGCTCGCACGCGCGAAAACTGACTCAAAACACGAAAAGTGGGGGAGGGGGCTTTCGCTCAGAGACTGAATTCGGAGGTTCAAAATGCGAAGGTACGAAAAAAATCGCATTATCTCGGCTTCTAATGTACCAATTTCGATATTTTGTTATAAACAAAGTTTATTATTTATGCATTAAATATACTGTATATTTTATTATGCTATTGCATTTTTTCAATGAAAAAATTTGTTTACGTATACGTTTTCAACACTCTGAATATGAATGTATGTAGTTATAATTATTACAATTATTTAAATAATTTTTGTTTAAACAAATAAAAAAAATTAATTTGAAAATCAATTTTTTTGTTAAATACAGATAAAATAAAAAAAGTAGTATAGTAATAAATAAATTGCAAATTGATAAATGTAATCTAATTGTTTAAAAATAAAAAAAAAGAGTTTTAACTTTTTAAATGATGAATAATATCGGCGCCAATATAGTTCCCTGGGGAACTCCACATGTAATATTTCTGGGACCACTACTGGCATTATAGTCCAGGAGAATTACACATTGACATGGCTGTTGCTTGACGTAATTTAGATATTAGTAAAAATCGGTCGAAAATAATATATACAATGAAAATATAAGGTAGCGTCAAGAAAAAAAGTTGTGCTATTTGCAGAAAAAAATAATGACTGCAAAAATACTCAAAAATTACGTGTTTTTTCTAACATTTTCCAACATAACTTCTTAAATATGCAGTTTACAGAAAATGCTATTACTGATGAAATTGTTTGTTACGAAATTTGCTACATGACTGATACCTGCGTATATCATATTTTTGTTGCTAAATAGCCAAAACAACGTAAGAAGGTGATGAAAATCGAGGTAATTTGGAAGCGTCAAACTGACAGGTAAGAAATTGTCCAATTCCACTATAAATGTAAATGTAAGTATTTTAAACGAATACAAAACGAAATTCCAAAACCCGATCAAAATCGGTCTGATAGTTTTCGTATGAGACAATTTGTTACTAAATTTCAGCGCGAAATGTTATTTTTTTACGTGAGTGCTGGGGTTAAAGTTAGGCATTTTAATTGGCGTCGATTTTTTTACATATACTTGGACCCCTTAACTATCATATAAAATCGTTATAATATCAATTTTCTTTTTTGAATAATTTTTGGAGCGATTTGAAAAGTTAGAAAAATTTTAACTTTATAAACAAATACTTTCGTGAAACGGTTTTGAGGGTTGGAAAATACACCAAAGTACTAAAAAACAGTTCACGGAAAAACTGATTTTAATTTTTCAAAAACCATTTGAAAGGTTGAGCGGTCTTTTCTATGTGAAAAATTTTTCAAATATCTAGATTCTAGGTGCTTTATTTGAATCTGTGCAACATTTTGAATACTCCGACATTTTTTTCACAATTTAAAAAAAAAATGTTTGAAAACTATAGAATCCATTTTAATGAAATTTGGTGTGTTGTTTTATTATACTCTAAAGTTTTTTTTAACAAAATTAAAATGCCCTCGAAGCAATTAAAATATTTTTAAAAAATTATCCGAAAAATTTGATTATTTTGCCTTTTTTTCATCAATTATTGCTATTTTGCAACATCGGTAATAAATTTAAACATTTTTAACTTGCAGTATATTGTGTAAAATTCAATTCTAAAACTTTTTTCCTCTTCAATATTTTTCCAAAATGCATAGGTTTCAAGATAAATAAATAAAAACTCAGATAAAATAGGTATTATTTAAAATTTTTTAAACATTTTTGCAATTTTGGGAATCACTTTTATTATGTGAGTTGTACTGAAGGTAATTAAGAAAAAATTTGCTTGCCCCCTCTCACATCCACCTCAAAACAGATCCGCCCTTGTCCAACATGGGTTCTAATTGATCCAAAGAAAAAGAAAAATTTTAAAAGTTGAAATTAAGTTGGCCTTTACATCTAACAAAGTAGACTGGAGTATATACCTATTTATTTTCTTTACAATTTATTACAAGTTGCTCGCAAATGAGATCGAAAGTAGCATGAAAATATAAGGTGAGTTCGATAAATGAGCACAAGACCGTTTCTATTTCCTCAGTGTAGGAATATTATTGTGTATATTATCTAGCCAGTACCTATTACATAATAGTGCTGTTGTGTAAGGTGTAAATTTATTAATTCATCACACGTTTTTTAAATAAAAATCTTGTCAGTGGAAGACATGATCTCTTTCATAAATAAACAAACAAGCGCGCTAGTTGCTTACGATCAACTACTTGCCTTCCTGGGATCCTGATACAAAATATCGACATACTAGTTACTATTGCGATATGTATTCGTAATTAATTATGTTATATTATTTATTAATAATAATAGCTGTTGGTCTGCGCGTAAATATATAAAGAGAAAATTCTTTGTGAAACTACTTTCTTATTATTTTATTGAATTGAAAAGATGTAATAAATAAATCATCTGTTGCCTGATTTAATCTTATCTTAGCCAAGGTGCTGATATTAGCAATATCCCCTCAGAAGACATGCAGCAGATACCCTCTTCAGGTTTAATAGGTTGCGGTAACTGGTAGCTTCTTGTTAAGGTCATGCTTTTATTACCGGCGTTAAACTTTTCGTATTTTTGGGCAGCCACCTCCACCAAGTTTATGGTCAAAGAGCACTTGACGTCTTCAGGTCTAAATCCTCTAGCATCAATCAGGATCTATCTAGAAAAAATTGACTAGCTAAAATTTTTTTCATTTTATCAACTCGAGTTTGATAAAATTTTAGCTTCTCCTGTACAATTGATAGGTATTGCATTTTTTTTGTTTTCCGCAGAGATAGCCAAGAACGAAAGTCAATGCATGAGCAAGCTGACAGAGATAGAGAGTTCATATCTTCAAAAACACAGACTATTTAAATATACGCTGAATCTAGGGTAAAAAAAACACCTAAAATGGCAACACTGCTCGAGTGAGGTTTTTATTCTCGTCCTCTTTAGGCAACCAAAGTTACACACACATATTTTATTTAACGTGTTATGGCATTATAAATCAAATTATTAAGTTTTATCTACTGAAAATTATTTATTTTACCCACTTCGAATCTATCTTGCAGGAACAGTACACTATCCATCGTCGGTTGGTCAATTATTTCATCAATAGTCCTGTCAGTGGCATTCCTGCTAAGTTCAGTCCACTTCTGGAGTCTCCCTTTTGCAATAAACGCAATTAACAAAATACAGTCCCTATTAATTAATAATACGAAAGAATTACCTGAATCTTGAAGAGCTCCTCTTGCTTTCTCGAATAGTTTGTCTGCTGTAAATGAAACACACTTTTTTATTGAAACAGATAGTTTTGATGTCAATGACATCTCATATTTATTTAGTATTGGTTTGGTAGTTTTTTCACAAAGAATTTAAAATACATAATTTTTTTGCGATGACAAAGATGAAATGACAATTTCGATTGACAGATTTTAATTTTTAAATTTCCTTCATTATTTAGGAAATTAGCATTTCGTGATGTGGTCACCCTGATTGACACTAACATATTTTCTGTCTTTTTCTCGAGTATTGAAAAGTATATTATCTTCTTTTTCAAACTATTTTCAGAATTTGCATGGTTATCAAATTTTGTCCATGATTGTTTGTTCTTGCGTTTGTGTAGTATAATTATTGTTTATACGATTATTTGAATTTCTTCTAACCGTAAAATCAGCAAAATGTCACAAGGTATCTATTGTAAATTATAATAATAACCATTATTATGTAAAAATATATCAAAGCAACAAGTTGATTAAAATAATTTTTTTCCAGACGCAGAGCCTAGAAAGTTTAAATTAAGAAGAATACCAACGGCCGATGGTATGTCAATAACAATTTTCTTACAGTTTTGCGTTATTATTACTTAAATAAGTTGTTAATACATTGATGACACAATTGGAAGGAATGTATGAAACGTACCTAACCTGAAACTTTTTCAGATATAATTAAGAAAAATCTGGAGCCCTTAAAGGAAAACATTAAAAAAAAGAAGCGAGCCCAACAAGCTTACTACCAGAATCACAATCAACAAGGCGTCAGTCCCTTAATCCGAGATTACAAAAAAGGCCCGGTTCACCAGAGGCTAGGTCGGAAACTTCCCTACACCCTCGGCACAAACACTTCTGCAATACCTCCGAAAAGGAGACTGAGACTGCCGGGAGTCCATCCACAACACAGACGAACGAGGATATTCACAGCCCAGCAGCGTTTGAATCGCATCAGGGCTAACAACCGAGAAGTGCAAAATATGCAGAACATACCAAAGAGGATAAAGCTGCGGAGGACTCTGCCGCACAGCATGAACGGGCCCACCAATCTAACGGTGGAGGTGAAAAACAACAATGCTATCGGTAGGCCCCAATTTAGTCACGGCACCCGCAGATTCCGACAGATATTGAACGGTCAACTGCAACAGGAAATAAAGAAAATACAGATGTCTTACCAGGGGGGCCAGACGATAGCACCCATGCGGGTTACGCCGTCGGCTACCGTGAAGCCCCTGAACACGCGATTTGCCAGCCTCATTTAAGTAGAGTTTATCGGTCGATTTTAGGTGGGAATTGACGTTTTATCAAGTAGTGTTACAAGATAATGCAGTGTTGAGTATATCGGGAACAGTTCACATAATAATCTATCGGTGGAAGGTCCTGTGCAATATATTTGTTTTTTAACGATATCCTTAAAGTAGGACGTGCCTTTAAAAATATGCATTTTCTGGTAGAAAACTAATTTTGAGGTAAGTACCATGAGCGCAACTGAACATATTTTGTTGCTTTTTTAAATATTAGGTTTATGCATATTGCGTTTAATATTGTGGTTATGTTAATTGTTTAGCATAAAACTTTGAAATATTCATGAAATTTGGCCACCCTCCCTATATTTGATGACGATGAACACAAACCTGAAGTTATTTTTGTGCAATCGAACTCGGTTTTCAGGAAGACAATTTTTCAAAATTCTAACCCTTCTAACACATCGTTACTATTTACAACACATACCGCCTATATATCTTTTAACATGTAATTAGTCATTTTATCGTCCCTGGGAAATATATTTTCTGTTTTTTAAGGAAAATGTCAAAAGAATGGCTTATTTGTATATCATTTCGTATTTAAACCGCTATTTCTTTCTGCGACCTATGGAATAATGTTACTAAGTACGGTAAATTTACTTTGCTTACCCATTCATGTCATTTAGATTAGATCAGGTTATTTTTTATAAAGTACATTATATGTAGGTATAAAATAAATAAAAATGTAGCCTGACCTCTCATAACTTAGATAGAATTTTATCTGTTTATGTTAAGTTAGGTTAGGTCAGGTTGTCTTTTATTTATAACCTGCTACATTACGTTATTATAAGTCACTTACTGATGAAATGAACATAACAGTTAAATGAATATAAATGTTTTTATTTCTTTTCACCGAATACTGCATTTTAATCATTCTGCTGCCCACAAAAATATATTTGCGATACTTAGTAACGTCATTTCGAAATCGGGTGATTTGAAAATATATTAAATGAATACATTTTTCTTTCAAATTTCTAAAAATATGTTTTCCTAGGAATTAGTTCATTTCTAATTATGTTTTATAGGTTAGAACTTTGGTAAAATTGTTTTGTAAAAACTAACCGCACAAAAATAATTTCAGATTCAATTTCAACACCCTTGAAATAGGCAAAATTTAATGCATTTTTTAGAATTCAAGACATAGTAGATAATTACCAAAGTTCATGGTGTTGAAATATCGCGAAATTTTGTGGAAAACGTAAATATTTTTTAAAACATTTATGTAGTATCACCTAAATTGTATATAATTAAACATTTCCAGCACATTTTGGGATATTTCAACACCAAATTGTATTAAATTTGCCTTGGTTCGATTGCTTATGTCTCAAATTAGTAAAATGAACGTTTTTAAACGAAAATTAATTTTTTATGTACGTAGTCAAGTCCCACCTAAAATCGTAAGGACGCAGTGCCCAATTTTAAATTTAAGAATGTGAAATTTTGTTTCTTGTTTAAACTTTATTTTAATTACCGCTAAGTTATGACGTAATTGGTTTGTAACCACGTTGATTCCTAATTAGTTATTCACACATCTCATAGAAGCATTTGCTGATAACATAATTTTGTATAAGAAATATTTTCTTTAATATTTTCACAGCCACTTCAACAACTCACTTTTTTTTTGTTTGCCGTTAATAGAAATGTATAAAATATCAACAGTTGTGTTCCTTTTGTTATTTTATCTTATAGTGGAACGTTAGATTAATAAATTTTTTGCTAAAAAGTTGTTTGATTTCTTGAAGAACCTTTGCCTTATTAAAAAAATGCCATAGGCAGAGCACCAGAGATTATTTATGGTAAAATACGATTAAGTGCGACATGGTAGATCCCTTTTAATTGTATAAAAGTGTGTATTTTCTTTTCCTACTAGCTTTACTTTACATAAATTTACTAATAAATTACAGTTTTTGTGTAAAAATATGAAAATATCAATACATTTTTCTTTCAAGTTATCCTGACAAATTGAGCTTGCTTTTTCCCTGATGATGGCATAGTAGCCAAAACTAGTAGGAAAGGAAAATAAATGTTTATACTGAATGAAAAAGGACTCCCTGTCACACTTATCGCCATTTAGTATTATAATATGTACATTTTCAAGATTTATTAAATTATATTGTGTTCAAAATGGTGTCCCTGTGCATAATTTTAAAAGTGATATTGGCGAGTCTGCTGATCTTTGTTTTTTGAGAACTTTATCTTAAAAACGAGTTTCAAATGTAAATATAAGAAGTATTTGTATATTACGAATATGCTTTTTAGACAAGTAAAGTTATGCCTCGTGTAAATTAGTGGCGGCTCGTGAAATTTTTTTGAATAGGTGAGGCCTGTGGCTATTTACTAGGTAAGAAAGAAAAAAAATAGTGCTGCAGGCAAAAATGTTTAAATATTCAAGGTCAAACGACTAAATGCCTCTGGAAATCTTTAGTTGCATTTCCAATATTACAGAAAAACGGATGTTCATGAGCAAGATTTTCGTTCTGATTTTATAAAAAATAATACGCAACTATTTGGATATTTTATTAATCTGCTCTCAAATAATAAATAGGAATAAATTTCCACGTCATTTTTTATTATGGAGATCTTCCTACTTGGTTTATGAATATTAAAAAATATGAAATGCCAGACAACTTATTTATTTACATATCAAACAACACCGCCAGCATTTCGTTTATCTCCACTTTTAATAAAATATTTTAAAAACATAGTGAATGTTTTTATAAAACGGGTTTATTCGTCTGTCTTTTAAATTTGCAAATTTACTCATAAAATTGAGGATCGGTACTAAGACTTTGCAATAATTCTTTTTCTATCTTCATCACTGATAATTTATTTAATCGGTCTTGTGTCATATTTCTAAATCTTAATGCGCTGAAGACACAAAGTTTCTTTCTACCGAGACACTAGTTGCAGGAATTGTTAAAACTGGGCAAAACAATTTGTATGTTTCCGAAAATACCATTTTAATTTTCTTGTATAATATTTCTATCATTTTTTGAACTTCTAAATTACGAAATTGTTCGTCTCTACAAAATATTAAGTTCGTTTTTCAACTTATCTATTTCAAAAACGTTTGCATACATTTGTAATAAGCCTTCAACCGATTTTTTTGGGAAATTTGTTTGCATATTTCGGAAATTTGGAGGAATCTATCTATTAAAGCAAAAAATCTAAATCATGTAAATACACAAAACGATGTTAATTAAGGGGAAATATATTTCGAAAATATTTCTAATTCGTCGCAACTTTTGCCCTGTTTACTTGGTAGTCCAATAATATTTTTCACATAATTAAAAATATTTTTAAATTTTTCTTCGTTTCTTAATTCAGAAATTCTTTGACTAGTGATTTTAATTTGTTTAGAGCAGTAGTTTACGTCATTACGTCTTGAAAAAGGAGTTTCAAGAGATAAAACAATATTGTGAGATAGTTTCATTATTAGCTACCTATGTAGGTATTTGGTAATATGGTATGTATCTATTATTGTTTTGTTGTAAGTTGTTTTTTATTTACTTTAAATTAATATCTGCCTTGTCCTTGTCCTTAAAGCCTTTGTACTATCCCTCAAACTGACATCAGACACTACACGCGTACTATGCGACGCGTACATTAACCGCGAACTGAAACACTAAAACTATAAGTAGCTTTGAGATTTGAGCCGGCCTCAGCTCCCCCGTAAATCACGTTATTTTAACCGCCTCTCGTGGAGGGGGTACTGCGCCTACAAGCAAAGAATTTCTGGCCTCACTGTGGTGGTGACTAGTAGGGAGTAACAATATCCAATGCCGCGCCGACGGAAACGATATTCAATATTCCAACAATTATTTTATAGTGTGATTTTTGATAAATGTAACGGGTATAGGAAATTAGTTTACCTAACTGTTTATTTAGTTAGGTTAATAGCAGAATATTAGGTATTAAAATATACGGTGTGAGAGCCAAATATTGCAGTGATGCACGGCCTCAGTTGCTTCATGCGACGAGCCGCCACTAGTGTAAATAAAAATGTTTCTAATTAATTTGATCATTTTGTATCGGGAATTAAGTTACAGAAAATTGGATTCACTGAAAGCCTTATAAATCTTCTTAAATCTTACTTATTATGCAGAAGGCAATTTAGTGAATATGAAGGTACAAGTTCCATAGAATGTATCAATTCTGGGGTACAACAAAATTAAAATTTGGGCCTATTTCTGTTCTTTATATTCATCACAAATGACGTGGAAACTTATAGTTCATTTGTAAGTTCTAAACTAGAGTACGGGCAAATAAATGACTATTATTATTATTAAATAAATCAATTTTTATTTAAATTTCAGTTTAGTCGGTGATTTATAGGCAACTAACATTACACCTTGGCTGTAATGTAGGTTGCATATACTTCGAAAAACGCGATTCACTTGTCCTTCAAATGTTTTATCTTGGTACTTTTTTTAAATAAAATATATCCTGATCTATACAATAAATCTATTCGCAAGTAAAATGTCAAGTACTAACAAAAAAGAACTTTAGATATTTTGTAAAAAATCGATAACCTCGATACACTGCTCTATTTATTATAATATAAACATGATTTCATTCCACTACTGATGGATATTTATGAAATTAATTTACATGGGGGCTTTAATTAATTTTAAGGACGTTGTGCTTGGTTTAATCTATATTTATTCCTGTACAGAATCACGTAATAAGTAAGTAACTTTATCTCTTTAAATAAATATTAATTTACATATCACAGAAGCCTGCAATCATTGTTTCATTAACAAATATGCTATCATCAGGAAAACATAAAAAATATAAATTAGCACACTATTGCATTGGTTAGAACTATCTTTTCCAACATTTTGTTTTAAATACAGAGTGCGATTATTCTAACCAATATATATTTTTTATTTTTTAATAGCACCTTTTATGTGCAATCTACAAACTGAGACACTCAAGAAAATATATTGGTAAACAAGGTTATCAGTATGACCATGACCGTAGATTGTGCTATAACAGGCTAATTAACAGCCCATTATGTTACGTGGCTGAAGACAGACACGGATTCAGATTCGAGAAACGAATTTTTACAGCGGACCAGTTCAATATTGAAAATGACCTAAAATTTTTAATATTATTTTGCTTCTTTAAGTCTTCATAAGTTAAATTTAGTATATGTTATAAAAAATAAAACAAAGTAAATTTTTAAAGGTTAATACTTTTTAACCTCACATCATTTCACAAAAAAATTTAAGATTTTACAAAAGTTAGGTACAGATTCAAATTGAGATTTATTTATACCCTAAGGATTTATAGGTACATATTGTGGAAACGGAAATATTCTGGATTTACGGGGGTCAAACGATTCTATTACTCTTCAGGATCGAAAAAAAAACGTAGATCCCGCAAATACGCCTGTTACAGATTGTAATTTGTACTGATATTTACTTATGTCCTAAGGGATCATACATATCGTGGAAACGGAAAAATTCAGAGGCTACGAGGGTCAAACGATTTTATTCCTCATCAGGGTTGAAAAATCGTTTGACCCTCGTAGCCTCTGAATTTTTCCGTTTCCACGATATGTATGATTCCTTAGGACATAAGTAAGTCTCAGTATAAATTTCAATCTGTAACAGGCGTATTTGTGGGATCTACGTTTTTTTTTTCGATCCTGAAGACTAATAGAATCGTTTGACCCTCGTAAATCCAGAATATTTCCGTTTCCACAATATTTACATATAATTCCTTATAGCTGTTGTACATTGACAATTTATTCATCAATAAATTGACGAAGTTCTTTATGAATTAATTCACGAGTTTATTGGTAAACAGTGTGGTTTTACACTGCTACAGACTTTGTCAAGTTTTTTGACGTATGAATCAGTTCTACCAATGAATCAAAGAAGCAAATAAATTTAAAAAATGTCATATAAACATATTATATAAATATTAGTTTTTGTAAGTAACAAATCAGTAAAAACAATGCAAAACTAGCACGACGCCACACAATTATTTACATATTCCAATAACATAACCTCATTACTGATCTGAGGCTGGAAATCTGTTGGGTTGGTACTTCCGAACTTCACGAAGAAATTGACGAAATTTAGAACATGCTCTAATTCGTCAAGAACTTGATGAATAAAATTATCAAGTTATTTGACAGCAGATTTGGTGCATTACACTTGTCCAATTTCTTGATGAAGCGACTTGATGAATTAATTGATCAATAAATTGTCAATGTAAAACAGCTATTAGGGTATAAATAAATCTCAATTTGATTCTGTAACTTTTGTAAAATCTTAAATTTTTTTATGAAATGATGTAATAGGTTAAAAAGTAATAACCTTTAAAAATTTACTTTGTTTTATTTTTTATAACATACTAAATTTAACTTGTGAAGACAAAGAAGCAAAATGATATTAAAAATTTTAAGTCATTTTCAATAATAAACTGGTCCGCTGTAAAAATTCGTTTCCCGAATCTGAATCCGTGTCTGTCTTCAGCCACATCATTATGTTTGTATTTATGTAGAATTATGTTAATTAAGTGGGAAATGGAAATAAAACGTAAAATCCAATAGACAACGCATTCAGATTATGTCACACCATGGAAATATTTCGAGAAATCGGAAAATAACGATGTACACCAGGCAAATAAAATTTTTACTCGAAAAAATTTCTATCCGCGAGATTATTGTAAAATTGTCTAAAGGAACATTATACAAGACATCTCTCGTTTCGTGAGTCAAAAACTTTTATTAGCTAACTTTTCTATTTAAAAAAATAAGTGAGGAAAACAGTTTTTTCATTTTGCAGGGAAAACTATCAATTTTAGCGAAAAGTAACTCAGAGTTTGCAGGGAATAAAATTATGTACAATTTTACAATAATATCGCGGATAAGAATTTTTTCGATTTTCTCTTTTTTTTCCCTAATTTTCCTGGTCTAATGTGAATATAGCTCCATACACAGTACCTAATTTAAAAGTGAATAAAAGACGTATTACATCTATCACGTTGACTGAAATATTTCAATCAACGTCTATCACAAAATATGGATATCTGTTACTTTTTAAATACAATTGAAGAAATTATTGATCCAAAATCCCCATGCATAAGAAAAAAAATTGAATGTTACATAACTGAAACTAGTGACCTTAGAAATCTTCTTTCGGAGAAAATGGATTCCTCATATCTTCTTAACCCCCAGTACCACATTTTAACTCTTTCTGTTGTGAAATAAGGACGCTAGATATCGTTTTCTAAAATCACTATTTTCCATTTTTTCACAATATTTCAGGAACGGCAGCAGATATCTTTGATCTCTTTAGTTTATTTTAATGATCATGAAAAGGAGCAAACTTTTTTCTAATATGAGCCACCCTGTATATCTTACGGTTTCCCTGATGCTATGAAAAACGGACCACCCTGTATGACAGCTTTTAATGCCTTGAAAAGTATAAATAGATTTCTTCAAGTTTAGCTTTGTTATAAAAGAGTAAATGACTTTTAAGACCGCCACAAGATTAAGTAGGTACGTTTTTCCTCGCAATTGGTTGATATTATAGTCCGAACAAAAGTTTCTGTTTTAATGATCTTACATGTTGAGCTACTTAATTTTTTGAAAAAAAAAACCGCAAATATAAAAGTTATGATAATTTCTTTAGGTTTTAAAGTCACATAACTCTCATGACATTTTTTTCATAGGTGCACTTACTACTATAGTAATAATTGAACCAAATTTGAAAAATGAACAACCGTAAAACTTAGGTAAAGCAAATTAATAAAAAATAATTATGAAATTCTGAATATTGAGTTTTCAAGTAAGCGTCATAGGAAAATAGGGTCGTTTCACATATTTTTTTATTTACTTGAATTCAGCATGTATCAAAATTAATATAGCTTTTTGCAGGATTTTGTTTTTACTAATACTAACTGAGAAATACAACTTTAAAATATGAACATGTTCCGTCCTTTTCTATAAGGCGTTGTGACGTCAACTATGTCGCATGCGCATTATGGTTGAAATTTAAGTTGGTATAACAAGTTACGTTGGCTATTCTGACATTGCTGGAACAGTCACATGTCACATTTTCTGTCAATTAACATTTACTATTTGTTGTGCTGGTGACCGGTTGTGTTTGTGTGCGTTATTTTTGCTTATTATAATTTTAATTAACATAAAGAGTATGAAAAATTACAATTTACTTATCGGTTATCACTCACACTCACTATATAATAATAAATAACACAGATCTACTAATTTGTGATATTAACCTCAAATTATAAAGTACTTATCATCAAATCGTGTTCTGTGTATTTTGTTTATGTCTCCATTGCGCATGTATACGAGTTGACGTCACAGCGAGAGAGACAATAATATTAGATAGGACTGAAAATGTTTAAATTTTATTTCGATATTGTTCCTTTGTGATCCATTTTTTCTGAAAAGTAAGTTAATGAAAGTAAATATATAAGCTGCTACCACTGAAAAATAATAGCAAATTCAATTTTTAGAATCTAAGGTAACGACCCTATTGTATCATTATTTTTATCGGCAGAATAATTCCCTATTGACGAGTTTAGTCTCAAATTCACCTTAATCTTAAGTATTTCAGCCTTAACCCTAATGTTTTTATCTTGTTTACAAAAATTTGGTCTTAACCGTGGTGAGAATATAACATGGTGTCCCTACTCGCTTGTGGTGATGTCACTTAAGAGAAAGACTGACAAAATCATGGCATATTGGCATATTGGCATGAAAATACCACTTTCTGCTGTTTTTCTAATAATCCAAAGCTGTTGTGGCCTAAAACAAGTAATGTTTTTTCAAACTTGACAGAATATGTAAGGTTATAAATTGACATTTAGACAAGGTACATACTTATACTAACATGTAAACACGATTCATACCATACGTAAATAAGGAAATTGTCTGCTGTTCTCTGCTGACGACATGCGCAGACAGGACCAAATTGAGCTGACTGTAGAGCACTGTGAATATATTACGGTGTCCTGTGCCACAGAACACCTAGGAAATACTGCCTACGTACATGTGGTGACGCCACTAACGAGGCTACGACGTAGTCAACGCAAGGAAATGCAACGACTACACTCCCAGAGCTATTGCTGTGTAAATATCTTCACATTATTTATTTTATTGTGTTAAACAGATAACGGTTCTTCAAACAGCATTTAAGGGTACTTTCACGTTTAGACTCAACTTATTTGAGGGTATTTTTTTAACACGATTCATACTAAGTGTAAATGAGGAAAATCTGCATCTCGTTAATGACGTCACGCCCCGTCAGGGCAAATCATATCATGTTAAGAACTAGTCAGCGTTAGAAGGGAGAAATAGCGGACTCTTGAGCTTGTTATGTTCTATAACAAGTTATAGTCTTAGTGGTCAAAATAGCATTGGTTATATAAGCTATTGTAAATACTATACGCAATGATAGATAGTCTTAAGTATAGTATTCGATACATTCTTTTATTCATTGATATTTTGTCCTATTCTTTAAGTGATGACTTTACTGTAATACCCAAAGCAAAATTTAAAAAAACATGCCATCTTGTGCCCCCTTGAAAAGAAAATCGACGTGGCTCAGGTTTTTTTGTTTTCTTTTAATTCCAATATTTTCCAGGTGGAAAGTTTTAATTGGAACACCCTGTATAACCAATGTTACACAGCAATAAAAGTAATGTTAGTCGTAGAAAATGAAACTTTAGAAACTTTCAAGGTCAAGTATTAAGACTTTATTAAGTTAGTAGGATTAGATTACGATTTTTATAAATCTTGATTTTTCCATGTTCAATTATTTCAGTAATTAGGATTTTTTTAACGAACGCTGAAAGTTGTAGCACACTGATATTTTTTAGAAGTGAGTCTCAAAGTGTAAGTTATCAAATTACCACTAAAATTAAAACTAAACTAAAAAATGACACCCATTTGGCCTTGAAAAAATTTAGGAGGTTACCAAACTCTCTGATGCTATTCAGGTTTTCTCATTACAGCCTTACGCCGACAAATGGCTTGAAACTCGAACCGCTATCTCCTGATTCCGGCGCCTGGGTCAAGGACGAAAGGACAGCGTCAGGACGATACGTAACCGCCTCCCATTCATCCCGGCTTTTATCCTGTGGGCCTCGTCATGCGCGAATGCTTGCAACGGAAGCGGTGCTCTGGAGGGTCGAGATGCGTTTTATTTTTTAAAATCGTATTGTCGTGTAATTCGAGCGCGCTTATCTTCTGTTTAGTTTGCGCTGCCTCTTCAGTGCAAGGTGACGGTATTCTATTAGGTCGCGGACTGTTTCTGTCCTTCCGGACAAAAAGTCGGGATATCGACGGAGGTTCACGTGGATGGGATAAGATCGATTTTCATTCATCTTTTTGTGAGTGGCTTTTTGTTATTTGTGAATCGCAGACGGCGGTGTTTGTGTAGCGTAGGTGGCTTGATTTATTTCACACTTATTCGGTCTAGAAGCGGAACGACCGAAATCGTTAAAGTTTTTAATTTATTTTTCAAGAATCTACGTAAAAAGTTGTAAATAATAACTTACAATATTGCTTTACTTAATTTAATATCGGCAGAAATTTAATTATTATTTAAAATTATTTTGTTACCTAATTATTCAACTATAATTAAACCATTTTTTAATTTGAAAAATAACGAAAAGTTGATGATACAATTTTTGAAAATTATAACGTTTTCATGGATGAACTTGAAATGAGGGAAAACTTTGTCATTTTTCATTTTGTGAAAGCTAATCAGCCTCGTTTAATGTAGAAAAATATTATTTTAATTGGGCCACGGTGTCTTGTACAAAAAAAATAGAAACCTGGTTGATTTTATCCTTAAAACTTAATACTACAGTCTGTCAGTTAAAAAATATAAGAAAAACAATTACATTTAACATTTAATATGTACAGGGCGTCCATATTTCTTTTTAACCTTAGGTGTGATTGACAAAAAAATTTATTTGTCTAAAATTTTAGCATTATGTGATTAAAAAGTATTTATTGTTTATTTTTGTTCCTGAAAAATTTACTAGGTGTTGACAAGGGCAAATAATATACAATGTGTCCAATTGAGTCGGCACCATATGGGAGACTTTTTTATTATTGGTTTTATGAAAAATGGTTTGTTGGTTGGTTTATGGTTTTATTCTTGATAAAATGTTCTGCATGGCCTAAAACCCAAAATGAAGTAATCAGAATTCAATTTTTTGCAGTCGTATACGAGATTTGTCGAAAAATTTTGCTCAAAAATCCGAGGTTCAAATTGCTCAATTGGCTCTGGTTTTCGAGATATCCTAACCTAAAAGTGCCTAAATCGCGATTTTTTGACATATTTGAGGAACTACTAAATTTAAACATGCGATATCTCAAAGACCAAAAATGATATCGGGATAAATCCAAGAGTAAGGGTTTTGGCAAAAAATTTCTTATCCATGTAACATAACCTCAAATATGTAAAAAATTTGCGATTTTGGCACTTCTAGGTTAGGATATCTTGAAAACCAGAGCCAATTAAGAACTTTGGATCTCGAATTCAAATTCAGCGCACAAAAATTCTTCGGAAAATAATGCATAAACCATTATAAAATATAATAATTACGTAAGTTACAAAATGGAAAACATATAAATACATTTTAGTTATCCCTAAAAAGTGTTAATTTTATAATTTAACTGTTTTAACAACCTTTTACTTTTTTATTTCTATCTAGAAAAAAATGTAAAGTTTCAAGTAATTTTCTTCCTATCTCGAAGAAATATGTAAAAAAACAATTTCATTTAGATGTAAACTAAAGTAGCGTTTTTTTTAATGAAACTTTCAGTACATTTACCTTTTTTGAAATCCTCGCTCTTTGGTGATTACACAGTAGTTTGCATCGAGGTTTGCATAATAATTTATTTTATTTACTGACCCTGCATGATGGACAAAATATGTCAAGATTGCCATGGAATTCGTGCATATTCATGCAACATTCATTTGTTTTTTATGCATTTCTTTTAGATAACAAGAAAATTTACTACAATTTTCGCCTTTGCGTTTTTTCCTGACTGAAAGGGCAAAAGAGATGAATATATTGTTATGTGAATAAAATGTACATAATCAATTTGTTACATTAATCTCATTTAAGTCACTCTTAACCTTTGTAATAGCTGTTGCTCTGGGTTTTGTTCGCCTCGCAAAAAAAAAGTCGCACAGTGGACTTTGCAAAGATAACAGTTTTTGGAAATCCCCTTCTAGGTATGTGGCTTTGAAAAATACGACTTTGTAAATATGTTGCTTGATTGTATCTCTCTTAATTCATATATCTAAATAATCTTTAAGTGTGTATTAATCGTATTTCACAACAAAAATGTTTGCATTAACTTATCAGTAATTTATCAATAATTTTAAAATTTATAAATTATAAAAATTTTACACAAATCACTTGTCAGCCACTTTAAAAATAGCATTTAATCAGGAAATGTATGAATTATGGTGGATATTGGGGAACTAGACAACATAAACACATAAGTATTTTTTATATTCCCTGGATTATTGAAAATATTTAAAAAATGTCAGCCTCGATTTACCCAGAAAACAAAAATATTAAAAAAAACATATGATATTTTAATCAGACTGATAACTGAATTAAAGAACCAATTAAAATTATACGATGCAGTTATCCTAACCCTAATTTCAACATTTTAATAAAGAAAATCGTAAGCTATTGAAAATTTTGTTTCAGTTGATTAAATACTAGACATCATAAAGTTGAAAATTGCAATATTTAAAACGCAAATCTATTAAATTTTTCAAAAATCAAATTTAACAGTTAGCTACTATAAAATATGATTATTTCTATAGTCTCCTTGAACTTATTCGCAGTTACTTATAGTACACAATTAATAATAATTAATTACTAATTAGATAATTAATATTAATTAATTTTCGTACAAAATATGGTCGGAATAATGATTTAACTTCATCAACTGTGAAGAGATTAATTAAAAATGCAGGGAGGCTGGAATTAAACACTCTGGCCGTCTTTCAACAAGTCGTACAACACAAAACATAGAAGCAGTTCGTGAGAGTGTTGCTGAGATTCCAGGAACATCGATTCGACACCGTGGTCAAGAGTTCCATGCTTACAAAGTTCAATTGACTCAAGAACTGAAGCCTACTGACCACGTAGAGCGAAGAGAGTTCTTTGAATGGATTATGGAACAACAACAAGTGGATGCTTGCTGATTTTTTCTTCAGCAATGAGGCTCATTTTCTTTTTAATGGCTCTGTTAATCCACAAAATTGTTGCATTTGGGGTGCAGAAAATCCGAAACAAATGAATCTGCAACGTGTCAGTGTTTGGTGTGGATTTTGGGAAAATGCGGCTGATCATTCAATAACAGTTAATGATGCTTGCTATTGTGACATGATAATCCAGTTTTTTGTGCCTAAATTGCAAGACTTGGATGTATACGGCATGTGGTTTCAACAAGACGGTGCCACATGCCATACAGCCCGAGAAACAATTCAATTACTGCATGAGTCATGTCCTGGTCGTGTAATTTCTCGTTTTGGTGATCAGAATTGACCGGCCAGGTCGTGTGATTTAATGTCGTTAGACTTTTTTGAGGTTTTGAGTCTAAGGTTTATGTCAACAAGCCCACGACCACCCACACCTTGAAAGAGAAAATTGGACGTTGTATCAACGAAATTCAGCAGCGTCTTTGCAAAACGTGGAAGTCATTTACCTAATGTGCTACTCCTTACATAACCCTACTGTATACCTTATGATTCAATACAAACATTTCAATTTTTATTTAAAAACCTGTGTTCTCTATCAAAATTAATTCAAATTCATTCACCTGTTTAAAGAAAAGAAAAATAATTGAATAGAAGGTATACAATTAATAAAAATACAATGTACAAATAAAACAAAATACAGACAAAGACAGAATGCACCTTAAAATAGTACTAAAAGACTAAAGTAGGGTTAATTTATAAAATGTTCTAAAATAGGTATTTAAAACTACATACAGGGTATCTTAAAAATCATTAAAATTTGTCTTCAAAAATTAATTAAAAGTATAAATGCACGATTTAACAACATTTTTTAATTTTTGTTTTAAATTCTTTACTGGTTTAAATTTTCTAAATGTGGACGTAATCCACAGAAAAATTGTATGCTGAAAGAATCCGCGCATTTTCTTATTTTCTGGAGGTTAAAAAAACCTAGTACAAAAGTAATTTTTTCTTCCAGTCTTCAAGAATGGAAGTAGCTTCTACTGCAAAAATTGTGCGAATTGTTTTTAATATAAAGAATGCACTGAAATATGTAAATATTTGAGGAGTAACACCACTGCATAGGTTTTTTTATTGATTTAAAGGTGCTTTGAACATTCTAGAATAAGAGAACAAAAGTTTTATGCGTATACAAAATTTGAAATTCCGAGCTGTTTCTCAAACTCGTCGAGCCGCTTCCAAACGACTACCTGGAGCACAGGAACCTGATGCAAGGGTACAGTCTAATGATTTATCTTTTCATTTTAAACTTTTCTAATACTACTAATAGATGTCGCTGATATCAACAGATGTCGTTAGAAGGAGTTTGTGTTTAATTAGAAGCATTTTCAAAAGAATGGACGTTAGTACAGCGTATATCTCAAAACTTTAAACGCGAAACACGATTATTTTTAAACAGCACGCAGCGTAACTCCAACAATTTTCATTATATTCACTCCAAATTTTGACCATATCTTTAAAATAACATTCTGAAGAGAAGCACATATAGTATTTTCGATCAGTTGATTGTAACATTATTTTATTGACTAATGATTTTTTTCATAAATTGAACTATTTACTTCAAATACTCGCTAATCACACAAAAATTCATATTTTCAAAAACCCCCACGTATTTCTCTAACCATATTCATTATTCATGTAGATTCGGAATTTTTTTTTCCATATGCAAATTTCTGTTAGTTATACATGCCTCAAATTCAACATGTCTCGCAAGAATAGCCCCAGCGTCACCATTTTGTGCTATTTATGAATTAATTTTTTTGTTTGAAAACTTAGACATGGTTAATAATATGCTTCAATATTATTATACTCTTACTCTTTATAAGCTTTATTTTAGAATTTTAGTGGTGATACCCTTTAGGTAAATCAACAAAGCATTTTTTGCAATCGTGTCTGTATCCTAGTCTATACATAATATTTTCGTTCAACTTTTTGCTGGAGAGCAACTATACGAGTACTAGAACGAATTGAGCTGTGATACGCTGCCTTGAAATAAAACTTTGTTTACCAAGCTTTGGAGAAGATAAAGTAGCTTTGAATTTTTTTACAAATATAATCAGTATGATGAATCTACGATAGCTTAGGATCCATATA